GTTCTTTGAATGTTCGGTAAAATTCCCCCATGAAGTAGTCTGGGCCTGAGCTTTTGTTTGCTGGAGAGTCTTGATTACATCTTCAATTTCTTTTGTTGTTATTGGTCTGTTCAAATTTTCTATGTCTTCCCGGTTCAGTTTTGGGAGACTATGTGTTTCTAGAAATTTGTCCATTTCGCTTAGATTGTCGAATTTCTTGCCATATAACTGTTCATAATATCTGTTAACAATCCTTTTTGTTTCTGTAGTGTCAGTTATTATTTCTCCTCTTTCATTTCTGATTTTTTGTATTTGGGTTCTCCTTTTTTGTTTCTTGGTGAGTCTAGCTAAGGGTCCATCAATCTTGTTTATCTTTTCAAAGAACCAGCTGGGTCGCACAGGCCTCTCTGGTGCTTCAGCACCCTACAGGTCCGATGGGTAACTGGATTGCACAGTCCCTGCACAGGCCTCTCTGGTGCCCTAGCACCCTGCAGTTCCCGCGAGTGGGCAGCTGGAACGCATCATTCTCTCTCTCTGTCTCTCTCTTCTTCTCTCTCGTTCTCCAGCTTCCCACTGCTTTTGTGCGCTACTGGACTGCACAGGCCTCTGTGGATCCCCAGGTCCAGCCACTGGCAGCTGGGGAGTGGTGCTGCCCAGTGGGGCTCAACTCCTGCTCAGCTTTTGCTGCACTTTTGGGGAATGGGTCTCAGCTGCTGGTCTGTGCTTCTGTTGCCTGGGGATAGATGGCTGCCCCCCAGCCTCTGTTGCTGGGGGTATATTACGACTCTGATCAGGCTGCTACTATGGGGGATGGTGCTGGGCTCTAGACTGTCTGCAGCTTCCAGGACCAGCACCTTGGGAGCTCTGTACTGTGCACTGGTCTGTGTTGACACAGAATGTCCACTGGTCCGATGGTGCCAGGTGCACTGGTGGGCTCAGGTTGCTGGGCCCTGGCTGCTCCCACTGCCCCCTCCCAGGGAAGACCCGGAATCTTCCAAAATGGTGGGACCTCCCCTCCTTGCAGGGAAAAGCGCCCTGAAGGGCCACTTACAGTGGTAGCCAGCTGTTCCCAGTCCACAGCACAAGAACCTTCTGCTCCAAGGCTCTGCACTGCTCGGGTTTGGTCATCCACATTCACATCCACTCACTCTCTCTCACACACTCGCTCACTCTCTCACACCCTCACCCTCCCTCTGGTCCTGCTCACCGCCATCTTCCAGAAGACTATTTAGTTTTTAAAAAAGAAGTAAATTGCCCATCCGGTGTGGCTCAGTGGTTGAGCATCAACCCATGCCCCGAGAGGTCGCCTGTTTGATTCCTGGCCAGGGCACATGCCCAGATTGTGGGCCAAATCCCCAGTGGGGGCATGCAATTGATGTTCGCTCTCATTGATGTTTCTATTCCTCTCCCTTCCTCTCTCTAAAAAAATTAATTAAAGAAAAAAGAAGTAAATTCTGCCATTTGCAACAGCATGAGTGAACCTAGATAACACTGCTAAGCAAAATAAGCTAATCACAGAAGGATAAATACTGTATGATTTCAATTAGATGTGGTATGTAAAATAATCAAACTCATAGAAGCAGAGAATATAGTAATGGTTTTAATGGGTGAGATGGGGTAAGCAGTTGTTAATCAGTGGGTATAAAGTTTCAGTTTTACTAGATAAAAAAGTTCTGAAGATCAGCTCTACAACATAATGTTTGTAGTTACAAACATAGTCTGGTGTACTTAAATTTTAAGGGGGTGGATCTCATAGTGAGTTCTCACCATACACACAAGGAAATTTTGAAAGATTATGATTTCTACTCCTTTGATTGTGGTGATGATGTCATAGGTGTTTGCATATGTCTAAACTCATCTAATTGTACATTTTGAATTTAAGAAAAGTTGCATCTCAGAAAGGTTTTTCCTGGGAATGAAAGAGGGAAGCATTATCTATCAGTTCGTGTACTCCATTGATGAAGCGTGGCTGCCAAGCACCAACAATTCAAGTCTGAACTTCCACAAATGCCTTAAAAATTCACACAGACATACCACACTGGAACCTAGGGTCAAGAAAATAAAGAATCCAAGGAAGTACGTGGGATGGTTTATATAGTCACATCAAAAGAGCAAGACCCAGAATATCTGGAGAGTGTTAAAAGTACCCAATATCATCCACATTCAGGTCTCAAGCAAGGCCCAGGACATTGATGTGGGGAAGCAGCAGCCTCCTGATGCCACGGAAGATTAGGTCACCTCTGGAAGTGGGACTCTCTCTCGGAAGTGAAATGATTCACACTCTGCATTGGTGTTTAGTTTCCTTAGTACATGTACACTGGTGAACAAATCAAGCTTCTCTGGAGGCCAGAAAGGGCCTTAACACTCAGACACTGAGTATGCTGTCCAAACAAAAAGGAACATGTTTAGGTAAACTTAGAAGTCCTGGAAGTTTGTGCCAGAGAGGTTTTTATAAGAGTGAACAAGATATCAGGAAGGGGCAGGAGAAAGCCCATTCAGGAAAGGAAGATGGGGAATAAGAAAGGAATTTTTTTCTAGAACCAAAGTCCAGAATCAAGATAGGACACAAGAAAGACCCAGATTCATACAGAGGAGCAGGTACCTCTAGAGATAAGAATCCCAGGTAAAACAGCAAAGTCTGGTCAAAACTCCTTGTGTCAGGGGCTTCTGAGAGATGGTTTTGAAGAGGAGAGGGACCTGGACCAACCTGAAAGGAGAGCTTATGTGATACTAGGAACTAGAACTTAGGTATGATGGTGTCACTGGCACCATCCCAGAGGGAAGTGTCTAGTAAACACCAGCAGAGAAAGAAGATGGGTGGGAGAGGAAGCAGAGGAGGATAATAAATCCTCACCCTCTTCCCAGATTATATCATGAGACTTGTCCTAAGAAAGTGAATCATTTTCAATTAGTTGCTTTATGATTATCAAAATAATTTATGGACATCTCTCTAAAAGAATGCTTTCTCTCCTTCCTTCCTTCCTTCTATGAAACTGCAAATCCATCAGGGAACACAACAATTGCCCATTGACTGAGCATCTACCAGACTGGTGTAAGGATAAAGTGCAACCAGGCCTTTGGGGAAACTGATGGAAGGATCATAGCAGTGGCTGTGCCTGAGGGTTCGGGTTCACAGGAGGTAACACAGGGATAAAGGGGTGGGAAGGGAGAAACCATCCACATACTTGAGTTCTAAGGATGTTTGAATTTCCCCAGGGCCACACCTAGTAAGAGGTTGTGTGTTGAGGTCAGCTCTGGGTTTATGACCTCTGTTTCATCTTACCATGATCTGAGGGCATGGCTGGTGTATGATAAAAGAGAACCCATGAGAGGCAAGGTCTTCAGGGCTGTGCATCATGTCAAACACATTCAGTTGATCTTGACTCTCCATCCCCAGTGACATCTACTGTCCTCGGTCAACATGGCATCTTAAGGCTCACACCAGAGGAAAAACAGTTCATTTCTAAAGCAGGATTTTTAGCCTTTCGTTTCCTCTCCCAGCCCTGGATCTGCTAAGAAATGGAATAGCATATGGTTCACTTATTATAGTTTACTGACTAGTCACTTAAGTGAAGATCAGATGATTCACCTACTGTTCTTCAAGGCCTCCCAGAAGAACCAGTAGCGCCTATTGTTTATCCCAAATCCATTTAGAGAATTACAATGATCAACATTAATCTGAGCTAAAGAGTAGGGCTCTGTCCAAGAAACACACTTTTTCCTGGTCCCAGAGCCCATAACTTCCCCCTTATTCAACTCATCACCAGCCAGGAATCCTATTGCCCATAACAACCTCACCACCAAGGGTGAACAGTGGGGCCAAGCCCAAGTGACAAAAATGTTAAGCCAGAGATTTTCATTACAAAAGTTGGAACAAAGACAGAGTAGCCCAAAACAAATTCCACTTCCTGAAGGCAAGGCTCCTATTCTGTATAAAATGCTGGCTGGCCAGAGACTCCCCACCAGACCTGAGAGGCCAGACAGCTTGCACGTTTCCCTGTACCAGGTGAGTCTCTCTACTTGTGATGTTTTTGTATGTGTCCAATTGTATTTTATTTGCTTGGAGTCTATTTTTCTATGCTAAAAATATATTTACTTTAAATGCAATGCTAATTTGTGTTTAAGGTGATAGTACAGATCTATGGATTTCTCACTCAGATTAACTATGGAACTTAAGATCAAAAATGGGGAATAGTTTCTACAATAATGATTTGTTCAGTTATAGGGTAGGAAGTACACCATGTCCAGGGTACTTTTCTAATACTTCTAATCATTACTGAGAATTTGAAATATTGAGGCACTGCACTGGCAATTTGGATATTCAAAAGATAGGTTTTTCTTTATTTCATAGGTTTCCTTTAACCTACCATCCACTAGAGTGGATGCCCCAAAACATGGGCATAATTTGCAAATACATTTCATGGAAAGTGATTAAGAGAGAGGGTAGGGCAGGTATTGTGCTCCGGCAAATGAGGAAGGTGACTTGAATCTGGCAGCGAGTGTCTGGGAGGGGAGCCATGATGGGAGAGCATGTGGAGTAGCAGCAACAGAATGGACAGCCTTCCAGAAAGCATGCACAGGGAGGACGATGTGAACAGAGAGTCGGAAGTGGAATCAGGGGCTCAGGGCAGGTTGGTGTGCAATTTGTCTATGAGAGCTATGTGGTAGACTTGAGAGGGTAGACTCGAGACTTTTGACTTGAACATCTTTCAAGATTATTAAAAAGTGTCGTGTTGTGTTTCTGATGTGGGTTTTCATAATCACCAGGAAGAAAGGAAGGATAGATCAGGTCTTCACTCACGTGGAGCAGGATAAAGCACTGTTAAGCTTCTCTTCTCAAAAGCACACAGGGATCACCAAAGTTTCCATTGATTCAGGGAAACAGCAAGAAAGAGAAGAGAGACTCTCATATCTGAAGGGGCATGAAATGAGATATATTTATCATTAAATTTGTCTTCTTCCTTGTTTCACCAAACCACTGGGTCAACTTTTCTGTTTCTAGGTCCAGCCTCCTTTGAACCATGAGTTCCTACCAGCAGAAGCAGACCCACATCCCACCTCCCCAGCTTCAGCAGCAGCAGGTGAAGCAGCCCTGCCAGCCTCCACCCCAGGAACCATCTGTTCCCGTAACCAAGGAGCCATGCCACCCCAAGGTTCCACAACCTGGCCAAACCACGGTTCCTCAACCTGGCCACCCCAAGGTTCCACAACCTGACCAAACCAAGGTTCCTCAACCTGACCACACCAAGATTCCTCAACCTGACCACACCAAGGTTCCTCAACCCGACTACACCAAGGTTCCTCAACCTGACCAAACCAAGGTTCCTCAACATGACCAAACCAAGGTTCCTCAACCCGACTACACCAAGGTTCCTCAACCTGGCCACCCCAAGGTTCCTCAACCTGACCACACCAAGGTTCCTCAACCTGACCACACCAAGGTTCCTCAACCTGGCCACACCAAGGTTCCACAACCTGACCACACCAAGATTTCAGAGCCATACTACCCCAAGTATCCTGAACAAGGTAATCCTACGTTTCCTGAGAAGGGTCACATCAAGTTCCCTGAGCCGATCCACCCTAGCATCCCCCAGCCGGGCCAGTCTAAGATTCCTGAGCCATTTCCTTCAACAGTTATTCCAGGCCCAGCCCAGCAGAAGACCAAGCAGAAGTAATGTGGTCCACAGTTATGCCCTTGAGGAGCTGATCACCAGATGCTGAACACCGTCTTCCCTTCTGCTTATGTGTCTTAATTGTCTGTAGACCTTGTAGTCACTATTTTCTCACTGTCAGAATCTCTCTTATTTGCATCCTAATAATATGTGCTATGAGGCTTTCTCGTTCACACTCTGAAGAGTCCTCTGAGCTCTGAATTATGCAGAAGGTCTAAGTGGCTCTGCTGGTCCTAAGTTGCTCAGGGTTCATCTGAAGAGTCAATGTGGATGAAAAGAATGCCTGTTTCTTGCTCTGCCCCCAATAAATCACTTTAACTTCACTCTTGGCTGTTTGTGTCATTGGCTAAATCTGCCCCTTCCTATTCTATCATGAGTAGGACCTGTAATTAGAGAGGAGTTGGTACAGACATCATCTATCTGCCCTGGCACTATGTGCTTCCATGAGTGTGTGTGTGTGTGTGTGTGTGTGTGTGTGTGTGTGTGATTACCTTTAGGGGGCATCCCAGGAATGACAATGGCGATTGTGTAATGGAACCCAGAGCCTGTCACCTTTGGGCAGCCGTACCTGGCACAGGGCTCTCCCCTGGCACTGGACTGAGTCACGCCTCAGCAGTCACGCCTGCTCCAAGCCGCCTTTGATCCCGAGGTCCCTGACCCCAAGGCTCCTGCTTTGTGCCCAAAACATCACTGCCACATACTTGAACCTAAGTATTCTGGTTTTCTTTACTCATTTTACCTTCCAGATAGCCCACACATATAGGCACACATTCATTTATTCAAGTATCCACACACTTACCTAATTATCCACACAAGCCCTGCCTTCCTTAGCTCAATGTTATCTTTTGCTGGGCACCAATCATGTGCAGGGAGGCCTGAAACAATCTATACCAGAGAGAGGGAGAGGAGGATACACAGTCTTCTCTGGGAGAGAGAGTATTCAGAGAAACATGTGCACAACCACACACACACACTTTGAATAGTGTCTCTCCCAAAGTAAACCACAGAAACCTATTTATCAAGTGATCTAAAAAGAGGGTGAGTTTAAAGAAGAGATGACAAGGAGGAGTATGTGATCCAGGTGAGGTGGACAACCAGCCAGGAATTGGTGGAGAACAGGTCATTAGCTATTAAATGTCGGGGGTGAAAGGAGTTAAATAGCACCTACTACAAACCCTGCATTTCCAGATAAAGAAATTGACATCCAGAAAGGAGAAGAAGATGGACGTTAACCAGAAACTGTTTCTGAATCACACCCAGAGCCCAGTTCCCCAGATATCTAGTCCTTCTCCTGCTGCTTTTGATTTCAAGGATGACCAGCCGGTCTGCAGGTCTTTGTTGAGTGGGTCTTGGATTTCAGGGAGCTTTTTCTAAAATCAGTGAAGCCAATATAAAATTTCAGAATGGTTGCAATGGTGACTGGGAAGTGAACCCTATTTCTTGACAAGGTCTATGACACCGAGCAGGTGTGAGGCAGGTGACAGATAGTATCTGAGTGACACACAAGCATTCCAAATAGAGTTGGCAAGAACTCACAAATATTTGGAAATTGTAAGACAGAAACCGTCCAACAAGTCATTACAAGGTGATGAGTAGTTGTCACGCAGGCAGAAGAGAATGACGTGTTTTGGATCTGTATAGTATGCACATTTAAAGTGCCTTCATATTACTGCTGATTTCAATTGCAAAAGTCTAAAGATTACTCTGAGCCACTCACAATTGAATAGGCTGATTCTTAATGGGAAATGGACTTTTTAATACACAGATTTTCTGAATCTAGTTTAAACAGCTTAAAGAAAAGTTTGGCAGAAAAGAATCAAAATGATTAAAGGTCTCTCTGACTTTTGAACCATCATTTTGTTCTAGAAATTTATTTTTAGGAAATACTCATGCATGTACACAAATATTTTATCCATGGGGACATTTGTAAAGTAATATCTGATGAGACATCTATGAGTTGGGATTATACTGCAGCCATTAAAAATATTGTTTTAGAAAAATGATTATAGGAAAATGTTCAGATCATATTACTACAAAAGCAGATACTAAACAATATAAGCAAAAACCATCTTTTTTTTTTTATCCTCACCCGAGGATACTTTTCCATATTTTGTTCAGATAGAGTGGGAGGGAGAGAGAGAGAGAGAAACATCAACATGAAAGGGACACATCGAGTGGTTGCTACCTGCACGACCCAACCAGGGCCGGGGACAAACTGCAACCGAGGTACGTGCCCTTAGTGGGAACCGAACCCTGGTCTCTCCGGACCACAGGCCAACACTCTACCCTTCACTTTCTAAGTCCTATGAGAACTATGCCCTCCATAATTAAAAAAGAAAAAAAACAACAACTTCTGACTGGTTCAGATAGAACTTGATTCAGGGACCTACCTGAATTTCCATATTTCTGACTTAGATAATTGTCATTCCTGGGTGTTTAGGTCAACCACTTTCTTACCTATTCTTTGCCAGCCCTCAACTTAATTTTTTTAATTCTTGCCCTTCTCTTTGTTCTCTGCAATGCTCCATGTTCTATACCCCTCCCCACTCCTGCCACCCCTGTCCCCTGGAACCCAGTTTCCTGCCCAGGCTTTGGGTCTTATCAGGCCCTCTGGCAGTTGACAAATTTGCAGTTACAGCTGTCAGGTGGGCTACAGCTTATGCCAACTGCTCTGCGTGTCCCGCACCATGACAGTCATCACACTCATGACCATTGGATCACATCTGACTTCTCCATGCTCTGAGCACCACAAGGGCGGAAAACTTCTCTATCTTGTTCAGGGCGACAGACGCAGAGCCCAGCCTGCTACCTATCAAATAGTAGAAGCTTATCTAATGTCTTCTGAGATGCTGAATAGTTTATAACTTCACCAAATGGTGCTGTGGGTTTGAGGAGCACCTTCTAAACCTTGCTCTGATTATTCCCCGCCCCATTCTGCTCTCTCCACATCCAAAGCAGCAGTACTCAGAACTGCAAACCACCTGCTCTGTCTTGTCCGTGCCTGCAATACTCAGAGAGGTCTACCATCTCCCAGAAGACAGGGGGCAGGGTTGTATCTTCCCAGCCTCATTTAGAAGCTCCTAAGTTGAAGCTTGTCCACTCTCCCATCTGTGAGGTGGAAATCACAAGGGCAGGTGGGAGAACACGACTCCCGTAATCTTCTTACAGGGAAATATAAACATAATATAGAATTAAATATATCTACAAAATATTATCAATATGATATGAATACTACTCTACACAAATTATAAAAACCTATTTCTATGTGTTCCATACTAGTGTAAAATTTTTTATTTAGTTCTAACTAAAATTATTTAAGAAATGCTAAATTCTCTTAAAAATATATTAAACCTAAAATTTCTATCACCTTTCTGGTTCACTTATTTAAGTCTTTGTACCAATTATAAGTAATCATTGCCCTAAGAGAAATATAAAATATTAATAATAATGTTTAATAATGTTTTATATATTAGTTACAGTAAGATCAATGATTCAATTAAAAGTCTGCTGTTTCAGTGGCTGAGGGCAGCAGAAGTTTAATATATGCATGTATCACAGAGAATTTGGATGGCCAGGAGCTCTGTTCCACCAGTCACTCAGGGACTGAGGATCTCCAGCCTGTGTAGACTCATCATCTTCCAGAGTCTCTCTCTTTCCATATTACAATGCCATGTGGACTTGTAGAGAAGAAAATCTTATTCTTAATGAACCGGGCCCAAAGGTGGTGTTCATTGCTTCTGCCCATATTCTAGTGGGCAAGTAAGATTACATGACCCCATCTAGATATTAACACTGTATTGTATACTTGAAATTTGTTAAGAGATTAGATCTTAAGTGTTCTCATCACACACACACACACACACACACACACACACACACACATACACAGGTAATGATGTAAGGTGGTGAATGTGTTTGTGATAATCATTTTACAATGTGTATGTATATAAACCATTATGTTATACATCTTAAATATATACAATTTTTATTCATCAATTATACTTCAATAAACTGGAGAAAAATAAATAAATAACTCTGCCATTAAATATATATATATATTTATACATATATACATATGTACATTTGTATACATATGTATACAAAGTGTATTTGTGTACAAAAATACATATACATTTATACATATATACATATTTATACATATATATATATACACACACACATCTATATATGCATATAAGTGCATTGAGCCTTGAAAAGTATGCCATGCTTGTGTCCAGGAAAGTGAGAACACAAATATCATTGATTCTTCAAATCCTGCTATAGTACACTCTTTTGATCATCAAGTATATATTTGATATATACTTGCTTTCTTTTTTTCTCCTACATACAGCATACCTCCTCCTGAAAATGTCAGCACAAGGGACTAAATTCTTCTTTTTGTCATCCTCAATGTCTGAGTGATTTATAGTATTACCCATTAGGTATTCATGGATCAGGTCTTCACAGACATGATGTGTCAATGTGAAACAGGGCAGAAAAGCTTCAGTAAAAATTTCATGTGGGAAGAATAGAAGTCACTGGTTCATAGAAAATCTGAAATACCACCTATAAGGCATTATGGGGCCTATGCTCCCCTCAAGTCTGCTCTCTGGAAAACAACCCCTAGCCTATTGTTCTCTCTGTCCTGTGGCTATGGCTCATTGCTCACACGGCCACATTGTGAATGCTTAGAGTGTCTTAAGACAAGTCATGAACAACAAGTACGTCTACAGAAACTTGGAAATTTTTATTGAGGTTTTCCTGTCTTGCTTTAAACAACTTGCCAAAACATTAGATTAGCCTTGGGTAAAAATTATATGAAATTATTATTTTGATATAGACATAAATTATTTTTTATAATTTTTCTTTATTGATTTTAGAGAGAAAGGAAAGGAGAGGGAGAGAGATAAAGACACTGATGAGAGAGAACATCAACTGGCTGCCTCCTGCATGTCCCACACTGGGGACTGGGCCCACAACCTGCACGTACTCTGACCGGGAAT